ATTCGCAAATTATATGCCTGAGAATCCGATTTGACAGGATTTTGTTTGGTTCCATAGGAGCGAAAACCGAGACAGTTCACCTAATCGAATGGTGTTGCGATGCGGTGAAATGAAAGGATCTTGCAATGACTGAGCAAACTATCACGGGATAAGTCTGATTCCAATGATCACCAATTATTAGACCCCGCTATATTTTGATGTCTGACATCCTTACGAGAAAAGAATATCCGTAAACAGCAAGCAGGATTTTAACCAGGTCATGGTTGTATCGACCAAATTTCCACGTTGCATGAATTCCCCGAATTTCACCAGATATATCGTCAACCAACGATCGCACCGTTCCTGGACCAAAAAGGATTCTTTGACTAAGTTGACCACGAAGCTTGATGGATTCACTTCTTCGAAAGGGAACGTCGCTGAAGTGTGTAAACATATTGAGATCAGTGTACTTGCATACTTCAGGTAGCATAAGGATACAAGGCAAGCTAAGTAGATTGTTCGAAATTAGCAGCGATGTTCGTCTAGGGTATCCTATTTCGCCATTCCTGTTCAAGTGGGTCGTAGACCAAATGCTGGAGAACGTATTAAGTGGTCTCCCGAATGTTGGTATTGAATGGGCAGTTGGAGAAAAGCTATGCGATTTGGAGTATGCTGACGACTTTGTTTGCCTGTTTTAACATATGGAGGACACCCGAAGCGCACTCAACAGACTAAAAAGTTCGGCAACTTCATTTGGTAAGCGCTTTGCACCTTAAAAGGGCGAAGTAATACTGCAAGATTTGGTTTTGACTAGTCCTGTTCTGAAACTAGGTTGTTAGGAATTGGTTGAAGTTGACTGTTTCTCATACTTAGGCAGCTGCGTGACCAACGACGGTAATACATCAGAGATAATCGCACTCATTTCCTAGACTCGAGCAGCGTATACAGAACTAAAGAACTGGAGGGGACGACGTGACGTTTCACTGGAGTCGAAAAGTCGCATGTACTGCATCACCGTTCGGTCAGTTCTACTTTACGGCTGAGAACCTTAAGTTGCGAGTTGAATACATCCATCACCTAGACGTTGACGACAATCAATACCCAAGCACTCTAGCCCAGGTTGGATTGAGTGAGTGGGTCAGTAGCCTAGAAGTCGTCGTGTGTTTGGGAACGTGCCTACCAAAAATTCGCTGTCGCATCTAATTCAGGTCCATGTGCTTCTCTGGATCGGACACGTGTCGTGCATACCTGACGGTCGCCTAACGCATCGCGTCTTACTAGCAGGTACCGCGACGAGATGGAGAGAACCTTGCTGAGGTCAACAGATGACGTGGAGATGGTGCGTGAAGAAATGCACCGACAGAGTAGATTTCTCCCATCTTTCCGGATGGGATTCAAACGTCTCCTTAACTGGTTGGTTGGAGACACTGAATGACGTGGAAACGAACCAACAATAGTGGCGTTCTTGTTGTCATTTGTGATCAGGTCAGAACGCTTGAAAAGGTGCATATTCACAACTAGGGTGTGTAACTTGTCTGCTGACCATAGAGGTTCACTTTCTTCACCCTTCCCTCCCTGAAAATAAGCCCAGCCTCTTTCCACATTGCACGTTCCCACTTCTCTTGTACGCATTCCGAGTTTGGCAGCTATCAGTGAAGTTCGCTTCACTGTATTCTGATGATGATGAAATGAATAGTTGATTCCATTCAGTCCTGCACCCAACACTTTGTATGACCGATTACGCTCGTCCCATCACTTGAACTTCTCATCCGCACTTGTTCCTATTTGCCCGCATTACTCGCAACTGTTCGCTGACCTGTTGGTCGACGCACCACCACCCTCGTCCCATTTGACCCACACACAGACATGTCTGAGTGAATTGATTCTCAAGCATGCCCACGCCCTGAATCTCCTTCACACACATACGTAGATTCAGGAGTTCCACACAACCGTCTCACGCTTACGTACGCATGCACATGAACCACCATCTCGCCGTGGTTGTTCCTCTAATGATTCTTGCCCTTGAACTCGCGACATTTGATCGACCACAATTGGTTACCGTTGTTGTTGTTGCTTGACACGAGACGTTTGATCGTCTCGCTGGTTCCCGCTGCATTGACTTAATTTCACGGTTTTCCGGTGTGTTGTTTCTACGGGATTGTCCCACAGTTTGAGGTTTGCTCACTGTACACTTTATCATATATCTCCAAATTTGTATTTTAGTATCGTACTTTGATGAACCTGTTTTTATACAAGGCATTTGGTCTTGTGGGTTTCACTAGTCACTCTCACATGGATTACTTGTTGCCGTGGAATTATTAAATAGAAATTTACGATCATGCCCAGGGAGTTAAAAGCCGTGGAGTATCAGAACGACTACAACTTAACTTTTAAGGTTGTTTTACGAATCGGAGAGCGAACATGGTGCGCCACCGCTAATTTAATATCGTGAAAACCAACTAAGAGGCAAGAATGGATATTTTAAGCCTATAGGAAATTTCTCCACATAAACGAAATCATACCAATCCCTCGCATTTGAGCTCCTGAGGTCATCCGAGCAAACTACGTGACGGTGGCAGTACAACATAAGGACCGACTACTAATGCGACTCACACGAGGTCAGGCCATCGTCTGACAATGGGATTAAACCAAAAAGGTGGAACACGGTGCAAGTAAGTTTGATGACTGAATGGAATGTGGTCGTTGGAAAAACGTTTTTAAAACCATCAACCATGCACTTTTGTGTGCCGGTCTCGGTTGCTATCTTTTGGCCGCCCATTTGGATAAAAGAGCAGGATGAAGATTGGAATGTTGAAAGCAAATTCAAGTGGAAGATTGAGAATTCATATAGAATGGTGTTTGGAGAATAATGAGTAGATGCTAGAGCGCCACTGTTTGCAACACCCAGCCATTTCGCTGTGTCTCTAACCATTGGTGAACGTGATGTCAGGGCCCCAGCCAGGGAGCCTAACGGGACCTATGTGACCCAGTCCCCTGGTTAGGGTTTTCATACCCTCATTCCGGGTCTTAGCTCGACCACCATTGGCTTTATTCCACCCACTACCTGCCTCGGCAAACATTGCTCGTCGTGGCAACCTATTTAGTGGCATGCCTAACACGCCCCAACCAACGTAATCTATGGAGGTCGACTATTACTCCAGTGGACGACCGCGATTATCTAAAAATCTACGCCTAACCTCAGTATTGATCGTTCGGTTGCTCCACCAGACTGGTGAAATGGGACGTAGACAGTGGTGTTTGAACACCCACAATATATTTTTATCCTGATTGGCGCTCACACGATATTCCTAGCGAACGCTAGCTTTATAAAACAACGGCTGTCCAAGACAGTTAATAACCGCCCTGTGTGCCACAAAGGTGATGTCGGGTACCTGAAACTAAACAGGTTTCGGCATCCACATCTCCTTCAAGTGTGATACAGCTCACTCATTCACTCACTTTCTCCCTCAGATTGCACGAACGGAAAATTTGAACGCAAACAAACATATATGTAAAATTAAGCAAACTGAGGAAGCAAAACCTGCACGTACCAATGTGTCTTTGTGGTAATGTACTAACTGTTGAATGGCTGCATTACTAATTTGCTGGGCGCCATTCAGCTTCACACTGATTAGATGGAACGCGGACTTGGCCAACGCCATGACAGTCTGATCGCGAACAGCCTGGGTGTAGCTTGCGTTCACGTGACTCAAATTCGGACAATAATCGGCTGCTAGCAATAGGGGTATGTCTCGATCGAAAGGACCCTTGGTACAACCGATGAAAGACAACTTGCGTAATCCTGTTCCACAGCCCTGGAATAGGCAGCGCAGACCTGATCACCGGAACCACGTAAAGGAAGCATAGAGAACGAAATAAGCGGTACGGAAAGAGCAAAACAAACAGCATAATCCATAATGACAACAACAACGAGAAAAGCTTTTATGCATTCATGTAACTGACATCTTCGTATAACATACTAGATAGTTGTGTCACGCGATTTGAATTTGATACTCTAAACCATGTCCCGTAGCTGTGGGATAACAAAACTCCGTTCGATATCGTACAGACAATGTGCTAGTATGCATGAGTATTTGTTGTCGATGGGGCAAAAACAGTAGCTATCACGTGTACCACAAGGTCTCACATTGGAAGCAGTGGAAAAAGTGAAAACCACACTTCAATCAAAAGTGTAACTAGCAGGCGATAACGATTATATGCCTCGCAAACTGCCCCGTCAGCATGTATTGGCCAGTGTATATGGTGATCATGCACGATTTAGAACTTGCACCTACCAACTAATAAACGGAGGGAAGGGAAACAGCATCACCTTGGTAATTGAGGTCTTGTATCACCCTGGGGTAATTTGTGCTCTCCTGTTTAAAAACATTAACTGTGTTGAAATATCACATGAAGTCAAGCCAGTGAAGAGGAAATTTTCAGCTAACCAAACGGTGCATTTTTGTCAGTACTCTTAATGTCCTCTCTATCCCTACTAGCCAAAGATTAAATACGGTTAATTGGGAAGCTGATAGCGAACCGGATGGTATGTGCATCGTGGTATGCGTTCTACGTGACAGCAACTACTACGAGTTATACAAGCAAAGAAAGCTGGTCCTGGCCTGGACAACGGATTGATTGCGCATAAAACAGCACCAACCCTCCTCCCCACCCAGTCCCTTCCTCTTTCAGTATCATCAATCACTATCTTAAGAACTAACCTTTTTTATTTTTGTCTCGAATGTCCGTTCCAGATTATATCACTTGCTAGGCATGACATGTATTTTCTACTGTATCTTACGTAACTTTACCCCGCTCTCTCATCTTAGCTCACAACCTTCAGTTTAATCTGCCCATCTCTCTGGCATTTCCTATTTGACCTTTGTCCTCTCACCCCCATCACGACTATCAATAGCCTCGTCATATTCGTTTGCTCTGTTTGCTCGCCTCTGTCATCGTTACCAACTGAGTTTTACCCGGCCAATCAGATACCTGTTCTGTGATCAACTTCTATATTTAAACGCATGATGCGATATGTCGAAAATAAATTTCTTCGCGAACACCGATTTCTACATTGTCTATGGAACTGTTTTACGATTTCAACTTTATTTTTTACGCCCGAGACAACGTGTTGACCGAGAGATTACAAAGAAAAGTGTAGAAACTATCCTGCTCGGACCAGTAGAAGGATTTACGTTTGCTGGTACAGATAATTCAGTAATTGGTTTTGACGACCACAGAACATGTCAGTGCTATTGATCCTCATATCAAGTTGCATCCGCTTACCTTCTTCCCCAATATTATCCCCACGGCAATAGGTGAGACGCAATTCACGTGGCCTCAGCCGTCCGATGCAAGCCAGGGCGGTGTTTGTCAAGTGCTGATGTCGATGCAGCTGAATCACGTGCCACAAAGATCGATCCAAAGTGAGTGAGGCAAAACGTCGACAGACCTGAGCAAAACGACCACGATCTACGGTGGGTAGAAGGCGAGCTACACTTAACCACAACTCATCCGGAAGCGAC